CCCCAAAACCCCAAAACCCCAAAACCCCAAAACCCCAAATTATAAGGTAAAATTGAATAAATACTCAAAATAGGACTATTAATTTGCTTAAATTAAAATAGTCCAGACTATTCCTCTGTTACAGGTTGAGGATTGATTACCTTCTCTTCTGATCCACCAGTCTTCCCCTTTTTCTTTTTATTTTTACCTGTCGATTTCTTACGATTATATCCCTTTCTTTCCTTTCCGGGAACCTTTACTGTTTTTGAAATTGGGTCGTAATACGGAGCCTTATTCTTTGGGAAATTGAGTTTAGCATCATTAGGGTCAACGTAATGCTTTGATTTTGGATAAGAAGGATTTGCAGGAGACCTAGTCCCTAAAGCAAAATTTAGAAACTGAGTAGTTCTCCTAATCTCCATATTTTGTTTCTTCAACAGGTCTAGGAGCAAGTTTTTATTCCTCTGAATAAGCCTCTGAGAGTCCATTTGGCGATGCTTCAACTGCTCATTTCTATCCCTTTGGATTCTTTTAAGCAAAGCTGATAACGCAAGTTGCTGTTTCTTCCTGAGTTTTTCTTCTTGCTTTAATATAATCTCTTCAAGCTCTTCCTCATTCTTCTCTCTCTCGATCGCCTCTAGTGTATTAGCTTGATCCTCTACTATCTCAGCTTCATCATATTCCTTCATTGATACAAGAAGTCTCACTTTATTTTCTCATCTCGAGAAGCTCTTTGGATAATTTTAGCTTAATTTTAGATTCCTTTCTAATTTTATCCTGCAGCTGCTCAATCTCCATGAGATGCTTCTCTTTCAGTTTTTCCAAGGAAAGGTAAGCAGTAGCTTCATAATCACTCATGTAGTTGTCCCAGGCTTGAGAAAATTCGATAAATTGTGCCTTTTGAGCATTCTCAACAGTCAAAAGTTCTTGCTCTTGAGCTGTCCTCATGTTGTTCTGCTGCCGTAAAGTCTCTTTTTCTTTTAAATCCTGGAATTTCTTCCTTGCTCTCTTCGCTTCAGAGAATTCTCCACTCTTCTCACACTTATTTCCGATACTCATCAAGAAGTTTGAGGAAGTCGATAACTTTAGTGTCAGGTAGGAAATGCACTCCTGTTCGAGGGAGGAGAGAACCATACTGTGCTCGCTCTTCCTCTGTAGCAGATCTTGGGCTTTCGTGGTCTTCTGATTCAGCTATTTTGAGTTCCTCCATGTTGTCACCTTCACCTTCGTGACCTTGACTGTCTTCGTGATCTTCATTAACAACTATCCTCTTTTCCAGCGCTTGCATTAAGACAATGAATTCTTGGAAGCTAAGCAGCCCATTTTCTTTCCCAAATCCAAATTCTTCAAGAAGTTCTTCAACTTCTTCCTTGTTCCTGTTGAGTGAGTCTAAATGGTGTCAAAACTTTCAGAGAAAATGCAAATTTGCAATAAAACTTAGCTTACCCATGATTGACTGGAAATCAGCTAGGTTAATATATCCTGTATTGTCTTTGTCAAACATGTCGAATATATTTTTAAAACTAGCTATCTCCTCCTCAGAGTAAATAATTTCCATCTCTTCCTGTTCAGAGTATGGGACAATTTGACCCTCAGCTTGACTCTCAGGATGACTAGAAAGCTGCCCAGGAGGTGCAGGTTCATCTTGTTTGACGTCTTCAGCAAGCTGATGCTCATCCTCCTCTTCCTCATCAGCTGGCTTTTCAGTGATGAAGATATTATTAGATTCTCTTTCTGAGGTCTGGGACTGCCTCTCTTGAGGTGTTCGGTCTTCTCTTTGAGCGAGGGGTTCACTTTTATTCTCTCCAGGAGTTGGCATATCTCCTTCTACCCCATCATCACTAGGCTCAGCATCAAGTAGATCTGATTCATTCATTTTACTCTCTTCAGCTTCATCTCTAATTTTATCTTGGCTTTGATTTCCTTCATCTGCCTTCAAACTGGGAGATTCTTTATTCAGAGAGCTACCACCAATGTCTTCTAAAAACGGATTTAAGCTAATTTTTCATCCCAAAATATTATTTCCCCCTTTTAATAATTTTAATTTTAGATTAAAAACATAACAAAGCCACATTCTTAGTTCAAGATTCTGAGGAGGAGACCTTACCAGCTATATCATCTTCAAAATGGTCGCTGTCGTTCATAATTATTTTTTAATAATTTCAAATTAAAATTTAAGATTAGGGGTTTTGGGGTTTTGGGGTTTTGGGGTTTTGGGGTTTTGGGGTTTTGGGG